ATCAAAAACGCACTCAAGTGCACATAAGCAGAGAAGTCGGAGAGCCAGCTGCGGGCTGTCTTGCGTGAGGAGACAAACCAACCTCTGGCGCAGCAAGCACGTCTGCTCAACCGGATGGAAGGCCGTGCGTTTCGGCATGACCTCAACGGCCGGTATGACATTTCGCCAGAGTTGTTCGAACGAATACACTTCCAGGCAATAGACAAAGGTGCCGAAGCGATCTGCTTGCCCATACTATGCTTGCCGGCATACATGCAGCAGAAGTGACAACTGCACCCACACTGGGCGGACATTCTGGCAAAAGCTGCCGTAGACTCTGCCAGCAGCGGACTCCGAGGCATTTTGTACTGCGACGAAGTGGTGCCCGGGAACGTGCTTCGTCCGGACAATGCTCGGAAGTCCTACTTGTACTACATCTCTTGGAGTAATCTTGGACAAGCTACAAGATCTCAGTTCTCGTGGGCGACGGTGCTGGTCGTGCGTCACTCCTTGCTGAATCGCATACCAGGCGGTCTAGCAGGAATGACACAAGCGATCGTGGCCCATCTGGAGCCTTGCTTCGATGGCTTTCCCGTGCAAGACAGCCAGGGGCGGAGCCACCTGCTGCGAACGACGAAGTTATACCTGCTAGCTGACGAAGCAGCACTGAAGGGGGCCGTGGGGTCCAAGGGGAGTGCAGGCCTTCGTCCATGCATTCTTTGCGCTAATGCACTGGACAAGACCCGACCCCCAGTCCCAGGTCACGAGAGCATCGCATCTCACAACTTCTCCGCCTTCCAGCCCCTGCAGCAACCTCAACTCGATGCCTACATGGCACACCTGGCAAGTCTACCTACAAAGAGCAAGCTCGAAGAAAGTCAAACTCTTTTGGGCTGGCATTTCATTCCGGAAAGTATCGTTTCCCGCCCAGGCCTGCTAATTGCAGAGCGATGCATTTACGATGCCATACATTGCTACTGGAGCCAGGGAACGGTTAACTGTGAGGTCGGCTTGCTGCCGGCCTCTGTCAAAGCAAAAATCGGGCTCGAGCCGGCGCAGCTCGCCCAACAGCTCAAAGTCCTGAAGTGGCGCTGCCCCTTTTACCAGGAGACAGCCCCCAGGGTCCTCGATGAGAAGCTCCTGCAAGCAGGCGTGGACTACACTGGCACTGCAAAGCAGACGCTCTTGGTGCTTCCGCTGCTAAATTTCTTCGCACAAGAAGTCTTGTCGCAGAAGGACGAGCTGCAGCAGGAGATCGACTGCTTGCGTCGCTTGAACACTGTCTGCCGCAGAATTCTGCTGCTGAAATGTCAGAAGAGCATTAGCCAAGCCGACGCAAACGATCTCGTGCAGCTGCAGCAAGACCACTTGCAAGCCTTCAAGGCATGCTATGGTGAAAGGAATGTCAAGCCGAAGCATCACTATAGCTTCCACACATCGCAGCCAGCTGTCCCGTTACAAATATTCCTGGACACCTTCGTTTGCGAACGGAAAAACAAGAACTTCAAGCAACTTCTTGGAAGCCGGGGCTGCGTCCTTAGGCACTTTGAGATGACGGCCATGGCCACTCTTGTTGCTCACGAGCTCAAGTGGAAAGGTAACTGGTCGCCTCATGCTGTGCTTTCAGAACCTCAGGCGGGAAAGAGAAGCGAACGCCTGCATGCACATGCTCAGTGCCAGGGCCAAGATTATCACGCGGGACTGTATATCCTCTCCAAGTGTCTTGCAGTGCATGTCAGAGGCTTCGTGGAGACGCCGAAGGCACCCAATGGGGCTCAGGCCATTGCAGATCAACTGTGCTGCAAGCATTGGAAAGAGGACTACAGCACGTGGAGCAAACCTGGCAGAGAATGTGTTGTAAAGCTCCCGGACTTGCGTGCGGCATGGAGGCCGAATTGGATTCTCGAAGAAGCATGCCAAGTCATTTCCTTGCACTAGGAAGCGAATAGGCGGCAAAAAATGCATGTGCAGAGACCAGAAACGCTCGCCTGGAAAAAAGTGCTTCCCGAAGGCCTCTGAAACTTAGAATAATTTACAATAACTTATAAGTCATTTATAAAAACTTACAACGTAAGTTTTCCTAAGTTCTTATAAGTACATCATAAGTCCCGGGGCTGTCAATGTATTATACTATAATTGTGAGAAGGCTCCCCCCGNNCCCCCCCCCCCCCCCCCCAGAAATTGTATACGTAATGGCCCCCCCCATTGCGCGAACTATCTAGCACCTGCCAGCCATCTAGCTTACCTCCTCGTGGCAAATGACCTACCAGTCTCCAAGTTAGCCCTCATAGTGCTGGGTAGTTGCACGCATAGATCGGAGGGAACGGGCGAAAACGATAGAGTGCGTGAGTTCGTGAAACTAGGAAGGAGGTTTTACGGCATATTCCATCGGCATGAAGGAGTTTGGCTCGCTGGTTCTTTGCCTGCCGACGGACTTCCGGGCTAAACCGCGACCCCCCAAACGACGGCAAAAACACAAACAACAACAAATCACCCCAAGCAGTTTAAGCCGGAAGCCACACCATGAAGTAAATCCCCAGGAACACCCGATTCCTGCAACCGTAAACCCCTAAAAGGCCGGGAATCCTTGGCCAGAAGGGTGGTGAAGGCCCATGAGGTGTTCGAGATGTCTTGTGGGTTCCTTGATGCACTTTAGGGTTTAGGGCCGTTTAGGGTTTTGGAGGTTGGAGCTTTAGTTGTCTTACGACTTCTTGGCCTCGGGTTCTGCGATTTAGAATGATAAAGGCCTTAGTTACTTGGCCTCAGGGTTTCTGGGATGTGCTTGAAACTCAGATCCATACACTTGGAAACTGGATCATTTAGGCAGATCTTACGGTACTGGCGCGATCACAGCCGGTAGATCAAGCTTCTGAAATCTTACTTGACTTACTGTTTTCGCTGCACTTTACTACTGCCTGACAAGTCTTGACGATTTTGTGATTCCAATAGTTTCGTGCCTTGCGGGTGCCGAGACTGAATTGTCGGAGTGTGTGGCATGAGAGTGCGAAGTATCTGCTGCTAAGCATCCTATTCATAATGACCGCAGCATAAGCAAATACAGAAGCAAGATGCACAATTCAATTTCTTAAGCAACAACTGGTCTAACGTAGTAGCAGCAACAATGTATTATGGAAGGCACCAACAGCAAGCGTTGCGCTGATCCCAGAAGCATAGCAGATGTTGGCACTTCCGTACCAAAAAAAGTTCCTGTAGGTGTGTTCTGTGCTTGTTGCTTGCCATGATGCAATTTCTCGAGCTTGTCTGGCACCACCTTACCGATCTGCTCCAACAGCTCCTCCGGCCGATACCTTGCTGTGGCAACATAGATCAGCTCGATGCTCGGTGTGCCAAATCATTAATCCTGGGTCTGGGTGTCATGAAGAACCCTTGACACGAACGCCCTGAACCTCAAACTCCACCCCAACTTGGACTTGGTGGTGCTGTTTCAAACTCAAAACCCAAAGATCGGATTGAATCGCTGGTCATGTGGCCTGCAGGCCTCCCCTTTGAGTCCTTTACATCTACAACTCGGCATCGCACACCATGAGCTCTGAAAATTAATCAACCCCCGGACTCGAAGCCCGGCTGCACCTCTTGGAGGAAAGGAACCCCGACCGCTAAACCCCGAAACCCTAAACAGCGAAACCCTAAAACCAAAAAATGTTAAACCCTAAAACCAAAAAACACTAA